CTGAGCGAGGCATATGCCTTTGGCTCGACTGAGCCGCTCGACCAAGTTCGGGAGCTGTACGGGCTATAGTGAATAGCCCGTACAGCAGCCCTTCGGTTCTACTGAACCGAAGGGGTCCTGGGGGCCAAAGTTACGGCTAGATCCTTCGGCTGCTTCGTGAATAGACCCCTGTGTGTTTGATAATAAAAACACATGAGATTGTATTTCTTGGACATAGTTTATCATAAGTATGTTAAGGTAATTGTTTGACAAGAACAAAAATCAATAAAATGTTTTGCATTTGATGGCTTTATATTTTTGACTGCAGTTTGATACTTTTTTTCACTACTTTGGGTGAATGAGTCATAGGACCAAGGTTTAGCGAACAAGAGAAATGCCTTTTCTCTCTGCAGGTACCAGCCTCTTAGATTAAGGAGAGTTTTTTGGTATGGTTTAGGATGTTTTAACTGTCTTGGAAGTTACTTAGGCCCCATTCACACCTAGGCGTATTGTAATATGCGCGTCTGTCGCGCGACCGTTACGCGTTTTTTTTACCACGATTCGCGGTAAAAAAGTCGCGCGACCGTCACGCGATTGCAAAGGCTACTTGGCAGTATCCAAATGGAAAACGCCCTACAAAACGGCCCAAAGTAGTCCCGGGACCTTTTCAGGCGTGGGCCGTTTTGTAGGGCGTTAGGGACGGGCGGAAATACGGCGAGGTGGGAACGAGGGCATTGACTACAATGCAATTTATATTTTTGACCGTTTTGTAGAGCGTTCGTTGAGCGTAGAACGCCCTACAAAACGGTCAGGTGTGAACGCAGCCTAAGAGTTACTTCTATTTTATAATTTATGTCATACATTTTCATATTCCCTAGCTTGTTAGTATTGTCTTATTAGTACAGTGGTGTAGGCTCTTTGTCTTTAATGTTGGTTGCTCTTTAGAACAAAGTTTCTGATGATTATTGAGGTGGCACCAATGTTAATCATTATTTTGCATTTTAACACAGATCTAAACGAAAAATTCTGGGAAGGAAAGATTCTGGAGAGGCCGCTGTAAAAAACAAAACAAAAGCTTTAACTGGACCAGCCCAGCAAACAACGCCAGGAGCTTCTCAAAGATCTGCTGGTCTCATTTATAGAAATGCCAAAAAGTCACATACATCAAATGAGGAGTTTAAGTTACTTCTCCTTAAAAAGGGGAGTAGGACAGATACCAGTTACCGTATGTCAGCTACTGAAATACTGAAGAGTCCAGTAACTCCCAAGTCACTTGGGGATTTGCCCCTAGAGTCTACTTCTGGTTTTGAAGAACCTTTACAATTGTCACCTAGCAGTGAGGCATTTTCCCCAGTGTCGCCGTGTACTCCTCGAGCCATGTCAGAAGGATTTACAATAAAGACTGCCGCTTCAAGAGTCGGAAGGTCTCGCGTGCCTCCTGCTGCAAGCAGTAGCCGTTACAGTGTCAGGTGCCGGTTATACAATGCCCCAATGCAGGCCATCTCCGAAGGCGAAACAGAAAATTCAGACGGCAGTCCTCACGATGACAGATCATCACAAAACTCTTCATAGAACTATAAATTGTTCAACTGCTGGATTGCCACAAAAAAGCATTACAGACATATTGTTGGTCATTATTTAAAATAATTTATATAAAAGCTCATAAAAGAAAAGAAATACCTGCACATTCAAAAAGCAGGCGAGAACAGTTGTATTAGTTTCCAATCAACGTTTCTGGAGAAAAAAAATTATCCTTTCTGTCAAAATATCTAAAATGTATAGAAAACACTTGTAGGGTGCTCTAAACATTAAGGGAGTAGAACAGCACTGATGAACAACAACCAGAATGGACTAAAGAAAATATTAGTGCAATTATTCATCATTTAATATTCAATGAAAAAATACATTTTATTGTATTTACCTAAGCTAAGCGTTTGTTTAAAAATAGTTACTCTTGATCTAATAAATCCACATTGATGGGGAAGTAATAGGGAAAAATTGCTATGGAATAACTACTCATATTGTAAAAAAAAAAAGTTGAAATATTTATTTGCTGAAGTGCTTCCCTGGGAACTAAGCAGATGAGAAAAAAAGGAAATAATTCTTGAAAATAGGTATTTTTGTACATTAGGGAATAAAAAATAGAGTAAGCTTTCAAAATAATTAAAAGATTGTAAATAACTTATTTTTGATAAACTTGTAAATAGGATTATTAACTAAAAGTGGATATGCAGCCAATGAAATAAAAGGCATTAGAAATCCTGAAGAATATGTGTAATGCTTTTTAAAAAACGTGTTGCAGCACAAAATTAATCCAAGATGAAGTCATGAAAGTTAAATCTTAATTGTATTCTGTGAATACCATCTACCCTGTTCTGCATCACGGTAATACTGGACATGACCATTATTAGCTAAGATAATAATTATCAGCCTCAAACATTTTTTTACATTTTTAAAAATCATTTTTAAAGGTGTTTTTATGTCAAATTAATTTCAAAGTACTGTAGCATTTATTCAACCTATCGCGTTTAACATCATTATAAACAGCAAATCCAACGAAATCCAGAAAGGTGCTTTCTCCTTAAGAATCTAAACTAAAATATGTTATTCTCAACCAGAATGATCAATTTTGTGATAGGTAGCAGATGACAGGTGCAAGGTCACAAAAGGAACCAATCCAGAGGTCATTAAAAATGCTGAGATGGCAACAATCCATATTATTAAGAGAGGAAGAAGAAATGCACAATAATTCAGGGCAAAACCTTGATGCAGGGTCTTTCTAAATATGGTCTGATGTCTTTGAACGAAAGCAGGCAAAACTAGTAAAGCAGCACAAAGAGTAAAGCTAAAATGTAGAAACTATTAGGAAATCATCTCTTAACTGCTTTGACTATAGTAAACCTACAGTTCATTGATTGCTATGGACTACTACCCTTTGCTTATAATCTTTGCTGTTGGTGCTGCTTTATCGGATATGCTTGTAAGAGTTGCCTATGGTATTTTTCATGTTTTGGACTGTTTTACAGTTTGGAGGGACTATACATTTACAAAAACTCCTTACTATTTTACCTAAAAAGTGTACCAGATAGCCAGTTACATAACTTAGGCAGCTTATACCACTGAAGCACTTGAAGCTACCAGTCCTCCATTCTGAAAAATAATATTTGTCATAAGATTGGGATTTTCTGCAGTGAATATTTTCCTGAAATACTGAATACTGAAGGGAGAAGTTTAATTTAAAATTAACAAACATTAAAACGTTGTAGCATGTTTTTTTGTACCCAGTTATCCCTATTACTGAAAAAAGGTGCTTTTCTGTATGGTTGAAATAAAACCTGGTTGCATATGTGCCAGTACACCTAGTGGAAGTGCCATTAAAAGGTAAATAAACTGTGACTAACTGCAAAAGAGCACAATAAACAACAACAACAACAAAAAGAAATGCACATGTAAAGAAAAAGAAGACTAATTAAGCAAATACATTCTTAATGTGCATGGAATAAGTGAGCAACAAAAACATTTAAATGATTTCACCAGTAAAAGCTACCATGTATATAAAAAAATAGCTAATTGGTAGGCATTTAAATTAACTGTAAATTAAGACATTTTTTTTTCCTGTTTAGATTTTACTGATGGCATTGATGAATACTTTTTGTTGTGTTGTATGTTTTTGCTGTATGGGCCAACAATATACAATGTGCATGACGGATGTCTGATTCACTGAAGCCTAAAGGGATAAGGACAACCAAGTTAAAAAAGCATAATGTTTGTCTTTAACAAGTCAGTATTTAATGCTATGAATTTAGGTAACTTAAATAATGTTTGTATTATGCAATCATTTACTTTCCCTGGGATCAAACTAAATCAATTAAAATACAAAGATCGGAATACTTACAGTAGGTAAAAGCAGCTATAGTTCAATATTTTGCAATTTCTCTTTGTTCACCTAAAACCACTGTTAAGTTATATATTCATTACCACTTCACATGGATGTCCCAGTGAGCTAGGCCCAGACCAATGCTGCCTTTCTTTAAATCCAGATGTAAGTACTGGTACTCCATATTAGTTATTATGCTCACTATCATATCATTGTAATTCCGTTTGAGAGGGGGCATATCTTTGCTACACTGGAGAAGTAAATAGAACAGGATGGTGGGAAATATATTTTAGCTGGTGTTTCCTGTGAGCTGAATAAAAAAAGGTTTATACCTCTACATAAGGTAAACATTTTCTGGAATGTCAGCTTACATCCCATTTGATGTGTTTGTGTCTGCATGCATGTTCCCATAACTTGACAAAGCTTGAGATAATTATCATGCTATTCGCATGTGCTGTGTGGAGGACGGAAGTGTATTGTATTGTGTTGTGTTAATAGCCATTTCAGGCTGAGGAAAGGCTAAGGAGGTGTTCATTGCATAGATAGCTGAAGAGGAAGTCAGCTCTGTAAAGCAAACTCCCAGTCACAACTTTATTTGCTAAAAAAATGTTTACAAAATGTTATTCAGCCACTCAGTATAATCCAAATCTCATATTTACTAATTCTTAAAAAATATACCTAGTTAACATAAACATTCAAATTATTTTATTTAAAAAAGAACAGAAAATTCACAAACAGGAAATACAGTAGTCAAAAATGATTTGGAGAAATCTAGAGAACAATGTGAAGTATAGTTCAGTTTTTGTGAGAAAGTGGAATTGTTAAGAAAGTGATTTGATTATAAGTTCAGTCACATATGTCAGTGAGATTTTCAGGTCTTACAAATAAAACAGAGTAGACTCAACATTGCACTTGTGTATGGAAGAACTAAGAAGGACACCAAGTAAGTTGAGAAGATGGCATTTGGCAGGGTTAGATGTGGCTGATCTGGAACTGTTGTACAAGAAAAGCTTCAAAGCGGAACGAAAACCCACCATTTTTTCCCAAAAGAAAGCTGAAGTTAGAAATGTTCAATAAATGTCATGATATCCTTAATCAAACATTTACATTCTGCCTACTAGTGCATGCACAACGTATACTACATTAAAGGCATGCCTCTGTTGGTAACTGCCAAAGTTGCCAATGTGCTTATGTCAGCTCTCAACCTAACTTCCAAGCCCTCAAATGGTTGGTGTCAAAGATTATCACATGTGCAGCACTAGGGCAACTGTAAATCTAAATAGAGGCTAACATGGTGCCATCTACAGCTGCGGATAAGAGGGTTTAGTTCCACTTTAAGCAACCCTTTGGAGAGGAAAGCATAAAGGCTGCCATGACTGGCCTCCTGCAAATGGCAGCCCCCATATTTTTCTCTGGAAAGGTCACTTTTAACAGATGAAACATCAGTAAGTTGCACTGGTGCTCTTTTTTCCTTAGAGGGTTTTTTTAGTATGATTCTGCACTTAATGTTCATGTTGTCAACATAAATGCCTTGTAGAAAAATAGACTGTAAGAATAAATAGACTTACCATCAGTGGGCCACATACATTTTTAAAAACTTAAACTCTATAAACAGCAAACATATGTCAGCATGCTATATTTGTATTCACAAATCTAGTTTATTTACATGTATAAAAGCTTTCAATAAAATAGTTTGTCCCTTATTTTCAAATGTTATCAGATCAAAACATAGCCGTATATGGTATAAAGATGAACCAAGACCAGCCCTGGGAATAGGTTTATTAAAATATAATTGTGTGAAATGAAAGCCAGTATATGCCAAGGGATAGAGTGGGTGGAATTATAGAGTAGAAAATAACTGCTGCTCCTTTATTGCTAAACTGGTCTCTAGTTTATAAAGCTCTAAATTATATCAATGAAATAGAAAAAGTGAAAGAGGGTTAAAAAATAGTGATGCCTAAAAACTGTGGAGAGTATCCATATACTGCTAAAGTTACTGGCCAACTAGAATTGGCTGCCTTATCCCTGCCATAGCCACAATTTGGTGAAAGTAACTGGAAAGTTTGCTCACAGCTACTTTATGAGGAAATCTGTTATAAGCCACATGTTACTGTAAAACAAAAAGAAAAAGAGAAAAAGTAGCCATTTCAGCCAATATACATGAACCCATTTTATTCAAAAGGGAAGAATAATTTAACTATTCAAATCATATTTAAGTTTTACTGCACATAATATTTAAACAGAGGCATAAAAGAAATAAAACAGGATGTACTTTTTATCTTTATGTCTACAAGAAATTATTTTTGCCATGGTAAATACTGGGGAATTATAATGAAGAAAGGAAATTGTTCCTCTTTATTAAAAGGTGACCGTTGCTATACAGGACAAATAGATAGCAAAATAATCCAATAAGTTTAATATTTTAAGATAAATACAATAAAAACCTTTCTTAAAAGATAGTACACTTGAGACATCACTATAGAGAATGAACAATATATATGGCTTTAGTCCACGCTTAAGGAATTAAACATTTATACCCTCAATTTTTATCTGCACCTTGGAGTTCTGAAAGACATGAAAAGTAATAGATCTGCATATTTTATTTCTTCTTAAAACTAAACAAAGGTTAATATCCATAACAATATCAACTGTGTAGGTCAGCTATAATTTTTCCATGAAGAAATTATGTCTTAATGAATTGCTTGGTCCATGGATTTGTTTAAACCATCAGGTACATTGTTGGTGGAAGACAGAAAAGTGGTATGGACCATTTGGT